TATATATATATATATATATATCTTTAGAAGTCAGATTCTCATGCACTGGCAAAATTGTTAAGCAACTTCAGTAAAGCTGTGGAATTATCTAATCTAATAGGCAAGCAAGACTCAAATAAATTATTAAAATAAAATACGAATAAAGATGGTGGAACTCAAGCAGAATTTTCATCTTGAAGGCAGAGTAAACACTTGTTGTTTGAAATGACAAAATTGTGCCCAAGGATATAAATTTCATACCTTCCTATGGTCATTTAAGAGGGACAAGGGCAGTTTCTTCTCCTTCAAAGTAGTATTATAGGTAACTTGACATCTGATTTTGGAGCTCTCCACAGAAAAATTTGAGCTCTTGCCGATCCCAACAACTTCAAATAGTGAATAGTGATTATTTTAAAGCAAACAGGTCTTAACATGTCCCTGGTACATATAGTGCCTTCACAAATATGCTTGATTAAAAAGAAACATGCTCATAAGAACCCTTTTTTTCCACATAACAATTGATCATTTGATGTGTTCGCTTTGCTCTTGGGAGTGAAAATTGCAACATGGGATTGGGTGTCAAATATGATGTAATGGAACAATGCTTTTTGTTTAGTAGTGATCTAGTAGCTCCTCATCAGTCTGCCCACAGATGAATGTTAACCCATTAACATCCAAGAAAGGAAGTAATTCTCTTTTAAAATAACAGTAATTAACCAGTAATTTACTTTAGCTAATCAGACATGTATTCAGACTATGCAACCAGAAAATATAAGAAAATAATTTCTTTAAATAAAAGCCAAAAGAAAAGAAAAGGAGTATACTTGGACCTGAATGCCAGTCCATCTTTGGTGATTTTGAGAAGACAAGGTAACAAGAAAAGCTGAAATGCCAATCTATCTTGGTTGTCGAAGACGACGATATTATTGAATGAAGTTTGAGAAGAGATATGCAAATGCTAGAATGCATATTACAAGAAAAGCAAAGATGCAGGTGCACTAAAATATAAATAGCAAAGGAAATTAGATAGATCCTAATTAATTTCAAGTCTTTTTTTCACACTGTTTCAAACACAAAATTACACACATAATAAGTAAACAAGCATTTCCAGTTTTCCACTTAGAATTTGACATATTGAAACACAGAACACACACAGAAAAAGAAAAACAAAGATTATATTAAATTGAAAACCCAATAGCAACGGCAACTAGTGCATATGTGATTTCCTCCAACTTTCTTGCGGTGAGAGAGCCGAATCCGAATTGCTGCCAATGGGGGAGAAAACAATAGATGAGAGAGAGATTTATTAAGAATGGAAAAGTCTTATTGAGTTGAATCAGAAATGGAAAATTGAAGATTAAAAGGCTTACATTTGGGGTGCGCCCTACCACTCAAATTCACAAAAGGGTAAAAGGATGTCTTTTGCATTGGGATGGTCCCATTCCAATGATTCCCATCATTCTTTTGGCCATACCACAATTTCTTTGAGGGAAGAAGGATGAGATGATTGGGCATTATCAAGGAAGGAAAAATTCAGAGGATTCCTCTTTAGCTTTTCACACTTTGAAATACTCAGACTCTGGATTGAATCACAAATCAACACAATGGAGCTGCTACAGATGCTCTTCAATAAGGGCAATCTTGTCAATTCCAACCTTTCTAACTTGGGTAGAGTGACTTTTTCTTCTTCATGTGTCGATGCTGATATCAGCTCCTCCATTTGCGAACACCAGTCAACCTTAATAGTCTCTAGAGATTGGAAGTAGCTGAGCAGCCACCCAGATGAGAATACCTTCTTTAATTGATGACACCCCAAAATGCTAATTTCTTTAAGAGAGAAAAAGCTTGTGGGAGCTACACATGGCGATAAATCAAGACCTTCTTCATCAAACACGTATTCCAGATTCTCTAAATGGTTAAGGTGTAGATATTCAAGATTTGGAAGTGGGTTGAATCCTGACCAAAAAACACTCTCTATTTTTTTGCATCTCCAAATTTTAATCTCCTTGATGGAATCACAAATCAAAGAACTGTTGTAGATGCTCTTCAATGCAGGCAATTCGTACAATTCCAACCTTCGTAACATGGGTAGGGTGACTTTTTCTTCTTCATGTGCCGATGACGATATCAGCTCCTCCATTTGCGCACAACTTGACACCTTAATGGTCTCTAGAGATTGGAAGTAGCAGAGTAGCCATCCAGCTGAGAATACCTTCTCTAATTGATCACACTTGCAAACCTCAATTTCTTTAAGAGAGAAAAAGCTTGTGGGAGGTGCACGTGGCGATAAACCAATACCTTCTTCATCAAACACCGATTTCAAATTCAGTAAATGGTCAAGCTTTAGATATTCAAGACTTGGAAGTGGGTTGAACCCTGACCAAAAAACACTATCTATGTTTTCGCAATGTCCAATATAAATCTCCTTGATGGAATCACAAATCAAAGAACCACTGTAGATGCTCTTCAATTGGGGCAACCTGGTCAAGTTCAAGCTTTCTAACTTGAGTAGAGTGACTTTGTCTCCTTCTTCAGATTCAGACCCTATAATCTCCTCCAGTTGCTCACAATCAGTAACCTCAATAGTCTGCAGTTTCTGGAGATATCCCAACCACCTAACCAAGAATAACTTCTTTATTTTATCACATTGAGAAACACTAATATATTGAAGAGAGGAAAATGTGCCAGCTGGTAGTGGTGCTGACTCAGCAATTGCTCCTACTTCCCCAAACACCATATTCAAGTTATGCAAAAAACCAAGTTCCAGCTTCTCAAGGTTTTGAAGCTTCCCCCAAATCCCAATCGTCTCCCATTTAAATTCTGTTTTGGCAAAGGGATCGGCATTTACTAGTAAATGCTGAAGTTTGGAGAGATTTTGTAGCGGTTCATCAAGTGTTTCAGATAATTTTCCACCAAGACCAAGATATTTAAGATTTGCTAACATGTTAAGGCCTTGGGGTAGTTCTTCAATTGATGTCCAGGAAAGGTCCAACTTTTTTAAGCCTACAAGGTTGGATAAAGATGGTACCTCTTTCAAGGACTCACAATCCCCCAACAATAACGTAGTAAGCTTCTTCAATTTGGAAACAGAACTCGGCAGCCTACTTAGCTCACGATTATTGGAAAGATCAATAATCTTGAGCCCAAGCATATGCTCAAAAAAAGCTTCTGGAATTGTTGAAATCCTGTTATTGGACAACAGCAAGGTTGTAAGCATAGGACACTTTGGAGAAGGCATGCTTGAAGGAATTTCTTTTATGTAATTCCTCATTAAAGAAACCTTCAAAAGATCTTCACTCCATTCATGCTCCTCTGGTAGCTTTTCCAAGGCAATGCCGGCTTTCACCAAGAATTGAGGACTCATATCCAACGCCATTTCTCGGAGAAGATCATGCATACTCACACAATCTTTGTTGTATTTAACCAACTCCAACAAGCAGTTGTCAACAAGCTTATCGAGTATATCATGACCCTTCAAATTCATTGCCTCCCTGGTTTTCCCTTCTTTATATATTAGCCCCTCCTCAATCCAATACTCAATTAACTCCTCCTTTGTGATTTCAGCTTCTTCAGGATACAATGCACAGTATAAGAAACACTCCTGGCATTGTGGTTCTAGGCATTCATAACTGAATTTCAAACAATCAATAATGCTTTTAAATTGACTAAATTCAGAAAGTGCTGACTTCCAATTACGAGGAAGTAATTTCCCTCTCATTGATTTTGCCACTGTCACTATAGCAAGAGGTACTCCACCACATTTCTGCAAAATTTGCTCCAAAAATGGCTTTATATCTACTTTAATTCTGCCATCTGACAACACTTCACTTCCAACTTTCTTCAAGAACAATGCTAATGCTTCTTCAGGTGGAAGAGGATTCACAAGTATCACCTTACACTCCATTGCACAAGCAACATCTTGTAACCGTGTCGTGAGTACTAACTTGCAACCATTATTTCGAACTAGATTAGGAATTCCAACATCTTCTAGACGAAATTGCTGCCACACATCATCTAGAATTAGCACAGAGTTGCCCTGCCTCAACTTCTGTGAAATCAATCCTGCAAGCTTAGTTTCATTCTCATGATCCTCGGCCTCCAGTTTTAATTCCAAGCAACTTGCAATCCTTTTCTGAAACTTGAGAATATCAAACTTCTCTTTTTGCTGGACTATAATGTCAAAGTCTCTTGACACTTTTACCCAAATAACTTTGTTAAATTTAGGTTCTTTCAACAGTTGATTGTGGACTTGCTTCATAATTGTTGTCTTGCCCACACCACCCATTCCCCAAACTGCAATTCTTATAACCTCGTCTCCCTTCAACCATTCCAGAATTCGATCTTGTACATCATCCCTGCCACTGCATTCTTCAACGTCCAGTGGAACTCCGTTGATTGAGTGATCATATACAACCAAACTGTCACCAGCATTAGTGTATTTTTCTCCTTGTTCAAATGTTTGCTTTAATTCTTTAGTCTTTTTCTCGAGGTTGGATGACGAGGGACACTCCCCTGGGCTGATCAGGTCTTCAACCTTTCTAGCAATTTGTTGGCTTGCTTTCTCCATCCAGTGTTCAACTTCCTTCCTTGGAATCTTTCCATCTTTATGCTGAGTCTTCAATTTTGCCTCAATGTCTTTCTGTCGACGCTTCAGCTGCTCCTGCATTTCTTTGAATACTTTCGTGCAATACTCAATTGAGTGATCATCTAAAACCAAACTCTGACCAGCATTAGCGTAATTTTCTCC